AATTCGGCATGGCTTTGGTGAGTGGCCATGTGGGTGTTCAGGGATTGTTGTGGCTGGTTGGGTTTGAATATACCATCGGGCTGATAGCTCAGTTGGTAGAGCGATGGGCTTGTAACCCAGAGGTCGCCGGTTCGAATCCGACTTAGTCCCAACTTTTCCTGTTCACTAAAAAATACTTTCCTACGGTGATTATATATATATATATATATATATATATTATATATATATATATATATATATATATATATATATATATATATATATATATATATATATATATATATATATATATATATATATAGTACAATCTGCAGACCTGCATGTTTCGGCGTTCAACGCCTCGTCAGTGCAGCTTGGTACACGTCTAGATACGTGAGACATTCGCATTTATATCACATACACTTGCTCCCACCAAGGCATGTGGTACAACACGATGACATCAACGCATCCAGACATGCGCAGAGTGCAATGGGGCCAGAGTGCTCAAACAACCACAAGGGAAGTGGGCTTTGCATTATCGCTAGTAGACACCCATTACAACTCCGCAGAGTGCTCAACAACACCGAAGTGAAGGAGCGTGATAGTACAATCTGCAGACATGCATGTTTCGGCGTTCAACGCCTCGTCAGTGCAGCTTGGTACACGTCTAGATACGTGAGACATTCGAATTTATAACATACACTTGCTCCCACCAAGGCATGTGGTACAACACGATGACATCAACGCATCCAGACATGCGCAGAGTGCAATGGGGCCAGAGTGCTCAAACAACCACAAGGGAAGTGGGCTTTGCATTATCGCTACTAGACACCCATTAATATATATATATATATATATATATATATATATATATATATATATATATATATATATATATATATATATATATATATATATATATATATATATATATATATATATATATATATATATATATATATATATTAATGATATTAATAGCAGAAAGTCTTCTACTTTCTAAGCTAAACTTTAATGATGTCATTTCATGCTATCCTCTCCCCGCATACCTACAAAAGAAAATGCAACGTGTGCAAAACGCTGCTGCCAGCTGGCCCAGCTTCGTCACCAATCGTTATTGTTCTGGAAAAGATGTCTTACAGCTTGGATGGCTTCCAACCTTGGAGAGGACTCAATTAAACCTCCTCAAGCATACTCACCGAGCAATCTACAACAAGGCCTCTTGGCCTGAGTATTTAACCCTGGAAGTATATAACCCTGGAAGAACGCCACGCTCTAATGCAGCACCACGATTGTCGATTCCATTAATAAAAGGTACTTTTCAGGAGACTACAGCGAACTTATTCAATGATCTTCCCCCAGAAGTCCCAGAAGTACGATCATGTGC